ATTTTGACATGTGAGTTTGAAAAGCATTCATGTAATAAATCCATACAATTAGATTATGTTGGGAAACCAAATTTAATGACTGTACAGATGTTATTCTAACAATCTATACTTTGTTAAGGGAAAATGTGAGTTCTGGGAGGGGTCCGGAAATGATGCATAAGAACATAAATTTTTAAGTATTTTAGGTTCATTTAATTTGTGTAATGGTGCCAATCATGCATCTGGACGAATACTTTTATGTTAGATTTTGGTTAAGATGCCCAAGTTCTTTAAAGCCTAATGATGACAACATGTTCAAGGCTTTACATGTAAGAGTAGCTGGAGTGTTTGCGGAGGAGCGGTATAGTTATAGTATAATAATCACAATAAGGAATGATCAGATGAATTGCTGAATTAGAAAACACACCAAGCTGGTGGTCCAGTTTTTGGTGATGGGTGCATGCACAAACCTTGTATGCCAGCCACGCTTGTTCAATTCCTTCAGTCAGAGGTTGCCCAGAAAATTAATTTTTTTTTTTTTTATAAAGGTTCTTCCTTATGTTGTAGAATTGGAGATTGTAGTTTTGGAGCTTTTCTAGTATGAGAAGTTGTTGAAAGTGAAACACACTGATAATAATGCCGGGGATGGGGTTAGTGTTTTGCTTCTATTGAAGTTTGTGAAGTTTAGGCATTCAATTGCTACTGTTTGTCGTGGGCTATCAAAATCCCATTTTATGCTTGAAATTTAAGAACATACACATTCGACCGTTCAACTAAGTTAGTTTGCCAATGAACAATTTACTTTGGATGTCCTATTCAATTGATATATATCCAGTGATAATCTATTTAACCATGCAAGTTTGTATTACCTGAGACTGTGACTCATGATCTGGCAAAAACTCGTCTATTTTGTCTGCCAATAGAATTTGCCTAGCTAGTCAATTAGCAGGGTATTTATTACTACATATAGTTCCATCTCATAGCAAACAGATCAAAGAAAACGAGTAACCTGTTTCAAAAAAGAAAAGAAAACAAGTAAAAATGTTCAATAATAATCTTCACAGGCTAAACTTTTTATCTTAAATTATTGCTAATTTTTATGACAACAAACTAAAGAAAAAACATGTTAACCTAAACAACAAATAAATTTTTTTATTAAAGTATCATTTACATTACATCAATCACACCAAACAGATTTACAAGTTTTTTTATGACAAAAATAAAATATATAGCGAAATAAATATGAAAAAGGAGGAAAATTATATTTCAAGATACAATTTTGAAGTTATAAACTCTATACCAAAAAAAAATAAAAAAATCAAAACTCGTCCCCTATTCACTAGTCACTCCAAGTTTTATAATTGAGTTTTGGAATATGTATTGACATACCTCCCACCCGTAGCTAAAAGGAGGGGGGAAAAATAAAGAAAGAAAGAAAGGGAGCCCATAATTAAACGTAATTTGTTTTCAGTACCAAATTGTTTCCGTAAAAAGAGAAAAATGTGAAAATAGTTACTTCCATAAATCGGCTTGAGCATCTCATTTTATGAATTATTACTTATTTCAGAAAAAAACATTTTATTGTTTGACAAAGTTATTTAGTCTACTAAAATAATATTCTATATTATTAACGTTATTTTTACAACCTCTTACAATCTATTTTTTCATCATTGATTTTCGTTAATCCAACGGTTATAATTTATCAGGTCACATTTATTATTAATTATTAATTTCCAATAAATTATAATCGTTAGATTGATGAAAATTAACGGTAAAAAAATCGGTTGTAAGAAATTGTAAAACTTTTAGATTGTAAGAATAACGCTCCTCTTATTTTAAAACATATTGATGCACCCGAGCTGACTGACTTGGATTGGGATTTTCTATAATTTATTCCATAGTTTAGGGCTTTTCAATAATTGATAATTATTTTCCTTTTTGTTATTTTTAGATTATGTTTGAGTGTGCGTTGATTGTGTGTTATTTCCTTTGATTGCGCATGATTATAGTTATTTACTTTTTTTGTTATTTTATTTTGTCTATTTAAGGCTTGGAGAATCCTATTATTATCAGATTATTTTTGGTTAAATAAAATTAAGAAAATAGAGAAATGTTTTCTCGCAAATCTTGTTTCGTTCTTTCTGTTTAGCCAATTGGTTACTACTTCGACATCATTTGGTATCAGAGCACTAGGATGCCTTCAACCAATGGCTGAACAGAATCGTAGAGGTCATCGATAGCGGAGTCGTGAAGATAAGGGACGTGGATTCGTTTCTGAAGGAGACAAACAACGGCGTCAGATAGACTGCCCTGACATAGAAAAAGTCGAGCTCGGAAGGCGGATCCAGGATTTGAAGCAACAGCTTGAGCAAGCGTTGGACAACAAAATCCAAGTTTTAGAGCGACTAGTTGCGCGAACGAAGAGAAAGAGAATTCAATATTTGGAGCGACGACTCGTGCGGGTATGCATGGAAATCCAAATTTTAAAGCGAATTCTTGTGGAGGCGCAGAGCATGGAAATCCAATATTTGGAGCGGCGACTTGCGTGGACAAAGTTGGACATTTAATCCGAAGAAGGAATGTAATTAGAGGACGCATTCGATGATGAAGAAGATGACGTCAATTTCTTTGGGATTCTAAACCAGGGACAGAATTGAAAAGTACGACCTGAAAATCAATCCACTTTTAAAGATATTGAGATGCAAATCAACATTCCTTAACGGCAACGACGGACGACCATACATCTACGCGCGAACGCCATAATTGTAGCTACAATGGTCGTTGCAATGGTAGAACAAAATAGATGAATTCAGGAGCTCGAACAACTGCTTGCCCTAACAAAGTTAGATGAGTCGGATGAAGGAAGGGAGCCTGAAAGATCCTCTCATACACCGTCGAAAGCGTCTTTAACATCAGAGACCTTGACAGAAGATTAAAAGGTCCTGATCTATGATAAGTCTGATGAAGAGCAAGATGATGAGAATCCTGTTATGGATGCTCCAGTTTATGACGAGTTCCCTATCTATGATAAATATGATTGGGAGCAAGACGACGAGAATCCAGAAGTGGAAGAAATCTCTTATAGTGATTTCGGTGGAAAGTGAGTTATTAGAAATTCTAATATCTCTGACAAAGAGGAAGTTCTACCCAAAGATATTATGCGAAATGATTCTTCATTCAAGAAGTCTTTAGTTTGCAAACAGTATTATGAATTTGGGGACAACAGGCATAACAACCTAATGCTCTATGTAGATAAAGATTTAGCTCTTGGTAGAAGTTTAATTGGAGATCGTCAGGGGCAATGGGACTTGCTGTTACATCAGACAAATTTTCCTATGATGGATCACATATGCGATCGTTGAACCAAACTACAGGCATTTGCAATAGTTTATGGGTTTTGTCCACTTAATCCCTTAGAACTCACAATATTTCTAGTTCCCAAGCAGTTTAATATGAATGCAGATAAACGTATCAAACATATCAAAGAATTCCATTCACAAGTCCTAATCTTAAGGAATTTGGTGATATTATACCAGAAGAGTTGTCACTTGAGTTACCACCTGAAGAAGTTGATATCAATGAAGACGAAGCAGATTCGAGGGCGAATCTTTTCCTAGCGGGGGAGGATGATGCACCCGAGCTGACTGACTTTGATTGAGCTTTTCTATAATTTATTTCATAGTTTAGGGATTTTCAAATATAAATGGTTTATATTTTCCTTTTTGTTATTTTTAGATTATGTTTGAGTGTACGTTGATTGTGCGTTATCTCCTTTGATTGTGCATGACCTATTTAAGGCTGGAGAATCCTATTATTATCAAGTTGTTCTTAGTTAAATAAAATTAAGAAAAGAGAAATAGTATTTTCTCGCAAATATTGTTTCGTTCTTTCTTTCTGTTTAGCCAATTAGTTACTGCTTCGACATTATTTGATATCAATTACTGCTTCAATAATGTCGAAGCAGTAACCAATTGGCTAAATATAAAGAAAGAACGAAATAATTTACAAAAAAAAAAAAAGAACGAAATAAGATTTGCGAGAAAATACTATTTCTCTTTTCTTAATTTTATTTAACCAAAAACAACCTGATAATAATAGGATTCTACATGTCTTAAATAGGAAAAATAAAATAACAAAAAGATAAATAACTATAATAATGCGCAATCAAATGAAATAATGAACAATCAACGCACATTCAAACATAATCTAAAAATAACAAAAAGGAAAATAATTGAAAAATCCTAAACTATGAAATAAATTATAGAAAAGTTTAATCCAAGTGAGTGAGCTCGGGTACCTCACATATTTATCTAAGGACAATATTTTTTTTTTCCTATTATGGGAGGAAAATATTATCTTATGTAGAGATAAAATTAAGTGGAGCCCACATCCTAAAAAAAAAAAAATTGACCCAAATTTTTGATGTGGAAACAATTTTTTTTTTTTTCTTCTATTTAAAGAAGATTTATAATTTTTGTCCATCATCTCAGCGTGTAAATATTATACCGCCATGTCATTAGGATAATTAAAGATATGACTTGAATGTGTTTCCGAAAACAGGTTTTTATGTCCAGTTAAATATAAACCATTTAAGTGACACAGCGAGAGGCTCGGAACCAGGTTCGGTGTTAGCTTTTCTACGTCAATATAGACAATGGAGAAAGACCAGAGAACCTAGAGAAAGCGAGAGAAAGGACCAGAATTTCCAAAGCCATTATAGCTTTCTCTTCGCTTTCTTTAATTCATTTCCATCCTCCGTGATTCTGCAGCTTAATATTGAATCTCTTCTCAGAACCACACTGTCTATATATTCATTCATTTTATCTTTCTCTCAGAATTCAGCTAAACTTTTTCATTCCTAGCTAAGAATTCTATGCCATTTTCCTCAATATCGAAGCTTTTTATAGGAGGCTTGGGTTATTTTGTTTTGGTTAATATATAGAATCTGAATTCGATTCTGGGTCACCCAGCGGCTTTTTTGTTGTTGTTTTTTTTTTTTCTTGAGTTCTTGAGGCATAGCTATGGCAACCGAGCAATTTTTTCCATTCTCTGTTGTTTCTGTGGTCGAAGATGTTCTTGAACAACATGGTGGCCGTTTGAGCGATATCAACTTGGCGTCAAGAAAAGCTGAAGAAGCTTGTATATATCCCCTGTTTCCATTGTTTTCTCAATTCCAATATATTTTTTCTTCATTTAGATTTTTCTTTTTAATCTATCACTATGTAAATCAATTCAAATTATTTATTTTTTTGAAATTTATTGCTTTTTTTTTTTTGCCAAGAATGTTGGTTTCAATCGAGAAATGACTCTAATTTTGTTGAAAATTGTTTTCTTTTGGCTTTTTGTGCCGTAAAGGTTTTGATGATAAAAAAAAAGATAAAGAAACGAACTTGATTGTTCCTAAAATGATGGGAAGACGTATTAGTAACTGCATGAACCATAGAAAACCTTAACAACTTCCTAGAAAAAAATAACATAAATAGTACTAATTCAAGTCTCGTATTGCAGCATTGAGAAGGTATGAAGCAGCTAGTTGGCTGCGAAAAGTAGTTGGAGTTGTTGGAGGGAAAGACTTGCCAGCTGAGCCTTCTGAAGAAAACTTCAGGATTGGATTGCGTAGTGGAATTATCCTATGCAATGTTCTTAACAAAATTGAACCTGGAGCAGTGCCTAAGGTACGTTACTTCTATGAAATCTGGCTCTGTTGCTATGCTCTTTTAGACTTAATAGTATTATATATGTTTGTTCTCTGGCTAGACACTGGCTCCTTAAGTATTATTGGATCTACATTGTTAGGTTGTTGAAGCCCCCAGCGATTCTGTGATTATTCCTGATGGGGCAGCACTGTCTGCGTTTCAATACTTTGAAAATATAAGGAATTTTCTTGTAGCAGTGGAGGAAATGGGGCTTCCCACCTTTGAAGCTTCTGATTTGGAACAGGTGGTTATTGACCAAACTTAAAAACTTTTTGTTTAGTACTTTGAATTACACATTAGATTGAAATCAATGCAATTATTGTTATTATTACTATTAGTACTACAATTGTTATTCTGCTTTAACAGTTTTTTTGCCCCCCTCCAAATGCTGTATTTACAGGGAGGAAAACCTTCAAGGATAGTGAATTGTGTTTTAGCGCTCAAGTCCTACTCTGAATGGAAACTTGGAGGAAAAATTGGGTCATGGAAATTTAGTGGCATTGGGAATCCAAAGCCACCTACCTCAGGGAAACCACTTTTGAGGAAAAACTCAGAACCATTCCTGAAGTCTTTGTGGAGTATGACATTAGGGGACAGAGATGATCACTCTTCATACAATGATCCTGGGCATGATCGAAATGAAGGGGTTAGGGAGCTTTATTGTTTATAATCTTTTACTTTTTTGGCTACATGGTGAGAAGCATCTGTCTAAGCTTTTTGAATTGGTGTCTGCAGGGTCCCTTAAATTCACTAGTTCGTGAATATCTGTCTGACAAGAAGCCAGAAGAAATTCCCATTGTAAGGCCTATTGTTTCTTTAATAGAACATATCCTCATAATCAAAACGACTTACCATTCTGAACAATTTTCGGAGTGATTTCTGCCATGCACCGAGTGACATAACACTATTATAAATGTATGTAGCATAATTCATTGAAAAAATTTATGTTGCCCATGGATTTCTTAAGGCCCAAAGTTTGCGTTCACGACACTCTTTCTTTCTATAATGAACTTATCTGGGGTTTTTGGTTTTATACCTCCTTCACTAAAGATATACTATAACAGGCAGTGGAGTCCCTGCTTGACAAAGTTATGGAGGAGTTTGAACGTCGCATGCTAATCCAACAAGAAACGGTATGCATCTCTCTCTTTTAACAATGTTCATAATTTTTTTATTTCTTGGGTCCAAGAATATTACTGAGTTTAATGTCAAAATTTTAAAACAATGACAGTTTAAGGCAACTCAAGAATATAAGGCATCATCTGAAACAGAATGTTCAACTTCAAAAGCTGCTTCTGTTGATGAAGGGGTATGATTCAGATTCCAGAAATACTTTTGAACTTGTTTAGATTGGTCATTATCACAATCTCAACTTCTTGACTTTTTTGTGCGAGGATTTTTAAGATGGAAGAAAAGGAAGATGGACAGGACTTAGAGGATAAACAAGAGGAACTTTGTGATGAGAAGTACAATGGTCAAGAAGAATCAAGCACTCAGAATTCGAAGCAGCAGAAGTTAGTCCAACAACAAAATAAAAGCTTCCAGGTAACTTGCAGTGTGAATTTGATGCAGAAATTAATGAGGTAAAATAACGAATTTAATGTTAACATTTTTCAGGAATTGAAACATATCGTTCATCAAACAAAATCAGGAATGCAGCTTTTGCAAAACGAATACCAGAAGGAGTTCATCTATCTAGGTACGTGTGGTATTGGGGAAAAAAATCCCTCTTATTTCCATGTCTCCCAGCCACTTTATCACCGATTTTAATCTCACGTATCTGTAAAATATATATACGAATCGTTTCTGGATTATAACTGGAACCCCCCCTTTTTTTTATCCATCTCACATCAATAACTCGACCCCTACCGCCTATAGGTAGTTTTAGGCAAGTTTCCTTTGAGGTTGATACCTGAATGCCAAAGATGGATTATTTTGTGAAAGAATTTTTGGGCCTATCAAATCAAAAGCGGGATTTGTGCTTGTAGAAATTATAGAGTAATTGGATGATTTTTTATTTATTTTTTATTTGTATTCTATTTTACACACGAAATGAATTGATGTATTTTTACAGGAAAATCAATTATCTATCTAATTACTTGCTAGCTACACTTAATAGGTAAGCACCTGCAGAGTCTAGCTTCTGCTGCTTCAGGGTATCATAAAGTTCTTGAAGAAAACCGCAAGTTATACAATCAAGTGCAGGATCTGAAAGGTAAATTCTAGTGGTAAAGAGGCTATTTATAATTTTTCTCCTTGGTTGTTCATGTTCTAAATGAGAGTGAATGACCACATTTTTTGCATGTTGGTAGGAAATATTAGGGTGTATTGCCGAGTTAGACCCTTCTTGGGTGGGAAATCAAACCATTATAGCTCTGTCAGTAACGTGGAGGAGGGAAGTATCACAATAGCAACGCCTTCCAAATATGGGAAAGAAGGGAAGAAAATATTTAATTTCAACAGAGCGTTTGGTCCTTCTGTGACCCAGGGTTGGTCTTAGTTTGTCCTTTCACTAAAATTGTTTCTACTCTGTATATTTTCATCATTGGCATTGCTACTATGATTTTATGTTAATCTTTATGGTTTGCTTGCAGGAGAAGTTTTCTCGGATACCCAGCCTCTAATTCGTTCTGTTCTGGATGGTTACAATGTCTGTATATTTGCCTATGGCCAGACAGGATCAGGAAAAACACACACTATGGTAAGAGATTCAGACAACCTTGCTCAATCCTCTTTTTGTTCACATTGTGACTTTTGAGAATTGTAATAACTCCATGAATGCATCAATATGTTGATGCAGTCTGGACCAGATGATTTTAATGAGGAAACAATAGGTGTGAACTACCGTGCACTGAGAGATCTTTTCTTTCTCTCAGAACAGAGGAAAGACACCATTACCTATGAAATTTCTGTTCAGATGCTTGAGATTTACAATGAGCAAGTCAGAGACCTACTATGTACAGATAGTTCTAACAAAAGATATCCTTCTCTAATCTAAACTATGCAATTTCTATATGGATACCATGCTCAATTTATCATTCTCTTGTTCCTGGTTGTAATCCTTAACACCTGCAAACATTAGAAATTCGCAACAGTTCCCATAATGGAATCAACGTGCCAGATGCGAACATTATTTCAGTTTCATCGACTTCTGATGTCATAAATTTGATGAACTTGGGACATAAGAATAGAGCTGTTGGTGCTACTGCCATGAATGATCGTAGTAGTCGTTCTCACAGGTAATAATGAACTTGGAACTTGTGGTTATTATTTCTAGTGTAAACGGTAAAGAACTTTGGAATACACCACCCCAAAAGCTAGCTCAAAGGGTGAGAGTGTCCAAGATCTTATAAACTCCACTTTAGTTGCACATACAACCAATGTGAGATTATATATCTCAACTTTAAGTACTTTGTAATATTATTCAGTACTATTACTAACTTGACCCAAAGTATAACATTGCAGCTGCCTGACAGTTCATGTTCAAGGAAGGAACCTGACATCAGGAAGCACTATTCGTGGTAGTATGCATCTTGTTGATCTGGCAGGAAGTGAGAGGTGTGATAAAACTGAGGCCACAGGGGATAGACTTAAGGAGGCTCAACATATCAACAAGTCACTTTCTGCCTTGGGAGATGTTATTGCTTCCCTTTCCCTAAAGAATGCACATGTACCCTACAGGAACAGCAAACTCACACAGCTGCTTCAGGATTCTCTTGGTATGATTTATCATTTCAAATTTTCAATAACCCTATCCACCTCTTTCTTACCTATTAAGGAACTGAATTCTGTTTAAATATATATGTATGTATACCAGGAGGACAAGCGAAGACCCTCATGTTTGTTCATATTAGTCCAGAGCCTGATGCTCTTGGAGAAACGCTTAGTACACTGAAGTTCGCTGAACGTGTCTCCACTGTTGAACTTGGTGCTGCACGAGTTAATAAAGATAATTCAGATGTGAAAGAGCTTAAAGAACAGGTTCTTATTATTTTATTATATTTTGGCAAAGAAATGAATGAATGTTTATAATTAGTATATCACTGTATCTTTGTTTGCCAGATTGCTAGTTTGAAGGCAGCCCTAGCAAGGAAGGATGGAGAAACAGAACACTTTCAACAATCTGTGAATAGTAACCATGAAATACCAAAGTTGAAATCATATGCATCGTCTCCTCCTATACAACGAAATTGGACTTCTTCAGGAGGCCGTAAGCTGCCAAGAGATGATTCTAGTAGCCTCGAGGTAACACCTATATATCTCAAAGGTCTTTTGCTTGCATGTGTTGGCCTTTTGACATAAATGTTCTTCAAAAACTAATGTTTGCATGTGTTTGTCAACAATGACTTGTAGGGCAAGAAAAATGCTGCATCGAAGCTGAAAAGACGAAGCCTAGATCTCCACGACATGTATAGGAATTCACGTGTTGGGAAAGAGGATGATAAGGAATCAGTTTCTGGGGATTGGGTTGATAAGATTACAATGAACAGGAATGACAGCTTCACTAGTGATGATAGCCTCGTGGCACAATGGGAAGCAGAGAGCAAACAGTTTTCTCCATTGTTAAGTCCCACTTCTCTTTCAGAACCTTCCAAGATATATCTGGAACACTCCTTGTATGAGATGGCCACAACAGATGAATCTGATGAACCTGAGATTGCAACTAGTGATTCTTCAGAATCAGACTTGATGTGGCAATCACAATCACATGCATCTAAACCAACCAGCATTTCAAATGGATTAGGCTCTAAAGCAAAGAAAATGACTAATTATCCAAGAACAGCAGCACAACCATCAAAGAGTATGATCCCATCATTGATTCCTACACCATCAAAGAGACAACCCACACAAGTTAATCAAGCCAGAAAGCATACAGGAATATCCATTGATGTAAAGAGGAAGACAGGGAATGCCAAGTGACAAAAAGCTGTTTTTTTGCTCTGCTAGTAAGCCTTTAATAATTCATTATATCCGATTAAACTACCACCTTTTTTGTTCTAAAGATGCATCCGGACATCAATTCATATGTGAATATTTAGAGGACTAAAAATAGTAGTTTAATCAATCTTTTTCTTTTCTCTCTTTTTGTATCTATATAATTTTGTGGAGGAAGAGATAAAAAGAGGGTTTCTTTGCATTTTTGTGGTGGCAATAAATCAATTGCCGGAGTTCATGTATTTAATTGGCTGTTCTTTGCAGCATTACATTATGTAAGTTTGTATGGAAATATATAAAAATGGTGTGAAAGGGGACAAAAATTAAACAATATATAAATTATCTTGCAAGTTTATCTCAGAAGTGGTTGAGTAAGTGAAAACGCAAACTTGGAGAACGAGATATGCATTGTTTGTAAGAACAAATTTGTAATGAGTAAGCTATTCATCTGAATTTATTTTATCATGTTGGCATTCACAAATTTCTGTTATCAATATCTGTTACTTAATTACTTTTTTTTTTTTTTTACGTTAAAAATTTCTTTTATCTTCTCCAATATCAACTTATTACACTCAAATTAATACCTAAAAATTCACATTTTAACATTAAATTTTGATAAAAAAAATTTTATCTCAACCTCTTTATTTTTATCTATTGAATTAGAACGCTTGACAGGAAAATGATTTAATTTTTTAGTCCAATTTTTCCTAAAGAATGATATGTGTCATTCTTAACTCATTTTTATTAATTTTAATTTACAATTTTAATAAATTGGATTATGCATTTTTTTATAATTTTAAATTTCTTCTTTTCTTAATCTATATTTTTTTGGTTCTAAGTACATTAATTATATATACATATTTTATAATTTAAATATTTTACATATTTGTTATTTTTTAAAATTTAAATATCACAACCATAAAGTAATATTTGTTAATTATTATTATAATAAAATTTATGTATTGATGTGTTAATACCTCATTATTTATGTGTGTAAAATAATTTCTCTGCATCAAAATCAAATCCTTGTTATCAAAAAAAAAAAAAAAATCAAATCCTAAAAGTTATATACCTAAAAAATGATTGGGGACAGGCTTGTAGCAATTATTAATTACAATATTAATAATAGTCCAAAGTCAATATCAATGACTAATTGATTGTTAATTATCAGAAAAATAATTACAATAATTAAATTACAAATCACTAACTACTAGAATTATAATTATTATTGACTACATAAATTAATACACATATAAGATAAGTCTAATCAATTAATGAAAAGAAATTGTTTCTTAAGCTATTAGGTTTAGTGGTGAGAAATTTGAACAGTTTATGTTATATGTTAAATTCTGATTATATTAGGTTTGAGATACAATAATGAGAATTAAACACATAACCTAATATAAATTGATTGGACAGGCTTGTAGCAATTATTAATTACAATATTAATTATTGCTAATCAATATTAATGACTAATTGATTGTTAATTATCAGAAAAAATGATTGGGGACATGTTTGTACTTTGTAGAATTATTAATTACAATATTAATAATTGATTATAATTTCTTCACCCTTCACCTTCACCTAAGCCGCAAGATGCGGGAAAAGTCCGAAGTCAATTTCAAGAAATAGTGAATTTTCATAGGATCTTTTAGTTCGCATCTTCACATATATGTCTATATTTATATACATAAAATTTTAATCTATTAATTTATTATAAGAATACACAAATGTTATAATGATGGACTTAACTTATAAGTGTATTAATTAATTTATATTATTGAATAATAACTATGATTAATTTTTGAAGTAATTATAGTAATTAATGGTTTTTTAATTTAAATATTGATTATAAATTTTAGTAATTATTATTATATTATTTATTAGTTAGTTAGTTATTAATATTAATTCAAAATTAATAATATATTAAGTAATAATTATAATTATATATTAATTAATAATTTTAATTATTTAATATTTGAAAGTGTGAAAATGTGGAGACTTATTTCCATAGTCTTGGACCACGTGATTCCTTAGTATTATAAGGGTGCAAAATGAGAAATGAATTAAAAATTAGGGGCAAAATGAAAAATGAGTGTGAGAGAATACAAAATTATTCAATGGTCCGGGATCATAAAATTAATTTCCGAAAATGTGAATATTTTATGACAGATTGCACCACTTAATGCAATCTAATTGATCCGTTCTAATTTTTCATGAAACACAAGAAAAAATGGTGCATAGGATCAGCCAATTGACCACCCATTTGAGTGATTGTTTTCACCAAATCGTGGAATTTTTTTTTTGTCAAAATACCCAAAACGGTTAGATTTGCATCCTCTCGTATAGAAAAGTAATTATGTTATTTAATCGTGACCACTCATTTAAAAATTATCTATTTTTCTCTCTTTATCTCATCATCAATAAATGGTTATGAATAAATAACATGATCACATGACTACTTTTACACATAAAAAGATTCATTCACAAAAAGTTACTATAAATCGTACTGAATCCAAATATTTATTAATTTTCAGATTTATAATAATTTTCAAAACAATTTATTAAATATAATCAATGGTAAATAAAATGTTTCACAACTTATCTTGCATATTAATTAATATCCTATGTTACACCGACACAAGACGAGACAAGACATGATACTTCGACACGTTAATTCTAACAAATATTAGATTGCGACATGTTAGTATTCATTTTGATATTAAATAATATTTTTAATTTATGTAATGTATAACTGTATATTATATTTAATATTTAGTAATTAACAAAAAAATAAAATTACATTTATAATACCTATCAATCTTGTAAAAAAAATAAATATAAAATGTTACTGTTGGGTGGTTTGCTGATGGTGGAAAAATATAAGTTCTGATAGGGGACGTTCTTCTGTTCTTGCAGAACACAGATTCGTCCCTTAGTTCCAACTCAAGTGCGCAAGTGCACACATCAAGTAATAAAGGAAGTATTAATGTCCAAATTATCGTTCCCACGAGGATAGAGTGCTAATTAATGTTTTATCACTGTTTATAAAGAGTGAAAATGAGAAGAAAAGTTAGTAAATGAACTGTCTGGTCAAACGTTCCCACTGCCTTGACAACGTTCCTCAGGAACAGTAGGTTCAACCTGATGGCAAACAGTTGCTCGTTGCGTTATGTATGTGATCCTTCCTGTTTAGAAGAAGGTGAGATAATAATCATTGGAGTTTTTATAAGTACTAAATAAAATAGAATAAAATGACTAAAACAGAAATAACTATAATCAAGAGACAACAGGGTGGTGGTTAAAACAGTTTAACAGAAGGAACGGATTCACTGCTTCACTCTTAAAGGGTTGTTTTTTCTACTCAAGACTTAGCATCTTTTGGCTTTGTCCCAGTTTCTTTGCCTGCCAACTCTGATTCCTCAGCTCATGGTCTAGATGGCTCACAAGTTTTCTTATTCCTATGGCTCCCTTGACTCCAATAGGTACTTAGTTCAGAACCTTAAAATGGACGAGTTGGCCCCTTATTCCTAAGGTGACCAATAGCGTTTTTGCCATGACATCTACCTTTCCCCAATGGCTAAGCTATCTGAAATCCCTTCCTTATGAAAGTTCCTTTCTCAGTATGTACCCAATTTCCATTGGCGCACAATGAATATAGCTTACTTAGCCAAAGAAATACAAAAAGCTTCGGTCAAGAGAGTTTTGAAAACAGTTCTTTAAGAGTTTCATAGTTTACCCGTTCCACAGATAGTTCAGCTCATGGCTGATAGTTTAAACATAATTATTCTCAATTGAGATCATATAGACTTGAGATTCAGTCAAGAGATAACAATTGGAACGAAGAGAAAAACACTTATATTAATTTAAAAGACAGTTTACAAAAAGAAACAGAAAATGGAGAAAGATGGGTATTTGCTCGTGAGGAGTCTTGATGGTTGTTTACAGAGAAGGGAGGAGGGGTTGTTGCTTAACTATAGTTACAACTGAAAATTACACTAAGTTACTAACTACTACTAAGTGATCTCTTCCTTTCGAACTGCAAACCCTCCAGGATTCGATGATGTTTTTGTATGAGAGAGGTCCTATTTATAGCTGGAAGAGGAATGGCAAGACTGTAATTCCCTTGGAGCTAGTTGCTTGAATGAGGGGACGGGACTGTGGTGTGAAGCTTGCGTGAATTGCTGAATGGAACAGGATTTGGTGATGATTAGCCGTTGTTTGCAGGCATTTCCATGTTTTGCTTCTGTTTTCAGCCAATGAGAACTCTCGATTCTCTGCTCTTCACGTTTCCAGCTGCTCAGTTGGTGCACCGCCTTACTTTTTAGAAGTCTTTAACTCTACGTTACCTGCAAAGTGTACAAAAGCATTAAATGAATGGAGCAGGTGCATTAAATGCGTCTCAGTTCGTTCCCCTTTTAATATATTTTAAAGTAATACGTTACCATCCGTTCCCCCACTGTGTTTTTACAAATGTGTAAAACAAGTGATTTTCATGCTGAAGTTGCTCATCAGATGAGGGAACGTGTGGTATTTTGCCATCAAAATGAGCTTAGATGTGAACAAATTTACGTCCCATCAGTTACAAATATTTATATTAAATTCAATAAAATAATAATCATAATCCAATCATTTAATAATTGAAATTAAAAACGTAACGGAATGTAATTTTTAAAATCCTTTATCGATGTAATATCTATGAAAAAGAGGTTGATATCAGAATAATCTATTGCTAGGCCGAAAAAAGTGCAGTGTTTATTTCCATGAAATGTGCCAAAAAAGAAAACAATTTTCTTAAAAAATTATTGAGGATGGCCCAAAATCATGTTATGTGGCCAGCAGATGAATTAAACAGGAGGGTAACCTTTTCCAACTGGTATCGAGCACCAGACTATAAGGGTCCCACCAGCTGGTGGCAGAACAAGTTAATAAAATAATGTTTCAAATTTTTTAATCTGTCCTTACAATTTTTTTTTTTAAAAATTTATCTTATATTTTGGAATGCATCTTACCGATATCATAATTAAATCTTATCAATTATAAAAAAATAGATTTATCGAAAAAGATATTTCAAAACTTCTTTTATTAAATTATTACAAAGTTAAATCAAACCAGATGTAAATATTCATCGACTTCTTTTTATTCCACACAGTCATAAAAACAAGATGTAAATAACGTTTGTATGATTTATGCAAGTGCCCAAAAAAAATGGCAGGAGGGTATTTCTGTAATTTAAAAAAGGCACTGCCTTTACTCTTCCGTTCCGTGTGTTACAATTTACCAAAAAAAGAAAAAAAGAAGATCAGGACAAAAATGTGATAATGAGGATTCCTTTGCCCAAAAGTGCCTTATTTTTTTGCGCATTTTTCTCTGTCTGGATTTCTCTACCAATCAAATCACAGTCTCACAGAGCAAGACGCTCTTCTTCTTTGTCAATGTCATTCTCATTTCCTCTCTAGGGTTTATCGCCGTTCGATTCAACTCCTCTTCTTCCAAAATGCAGTCTTCAACGCTTCCACAATCGGAGCGCTAGTGCGCATGCTTCTGCCGATGTGCAATGTAGTTGAATCTGGCTCCTCGATCTACTGCATTTTCCACCTGTCAGTTTAGCTTTTACCAGAAATTTCCTTTCCATTTGCCTTTTTTTTTTTTGCTTAAATTGATTTAATGTTTTACATAAATTGATATTTTTCCATTTTCCTACCTTAAAATTGACCGAATGGTGATGTTATTTGATTTTGATATTTCACTTCCATAGATTTAAATTTTTTAAATGCGCAGGAACTATGGTTTTCTTGGATTTTGTGAAGCTTTTTTCACTGTAATGCACATTATTCTGCTTTTACGATCCGGTCTTGATTTATTGCTTCACATATAGATCTTTATTTTGAAAATAAATAAATCATTTAGAAGGATATGGCACATGCAGATCTAGTAGCTAAAATTCTTTTGGATTTCTATTCATTTTTGTTCAAATTCATTTGGATGATTAGGTAGGATTTCTTCACTGCGGTTATAGAAATGTTGAATTCTGAGCTAAGATGAGTAAGATTGAATTATCAAGGATGAAGACACCGGCCGTTCCATTGGCTACTCTGATTGGGCGTGAGCTTCGAAATGAAAATGTTGAAAAACCTTTTGTGAAGTATGGGCAAGCTGGGTTGGCCAAGAAAGGAGAAGATTATTTTCTGATCAAGACAGACTGCCACAGGATTCCTGGGGATTCATCTACAGTGTTTTCTGTATTCGCGGTATTTTTTGTCTTCTTGGCTTACACCTATATTTACTTTTAAGTTGATTTACATCATTTTAGTCTTAAGTGAAATTTTTGGGGGAAGAAATATTTGAATCTTAGGAAATGGAATATTAAGCCTAAGGTGGAGAGAACTTCGTTTCTCGTGTCAAATGAGAATTGAAGCATATTATTTCTCTTTTCTTTACATTTCTCAGCGATCAAATGGAGCATCAATTTATTGCCACAATGGTTGTGATATCCATAAGGAATTCTTGATTGGTAGATCTTTGATGGGCATAACGGTATATCAGCTGCTATTTTTGCGAAGGAAAACTTGCTAAGTAATGTTTTGAGTGCATTACCGCAAGATATCAGCAGGGATGCATGGCTTCAGGAACTTCCTCGTGCTCTAGTTGTTGGTTTTGTGAAAACTGACATAGAGTTTCAGCAAAAGGGTAAATACGAAATCTTTTTTCCTTGCTTCATACATCTGCTGTGCACACTTATACTGACATTTTAATTTAATGTGCAGGGGAAACTTCTGGAACAACTGCTACATTTGTCCTGATTGATGGATGGACTGTCACTGTTGCATCTGTTGGGGATTCCCGTTGCATATTAGATACTCAGGGAGGTGTAGTTTCTCTCTTGACAGTTGATCACAGACTAGAAGAGAATGCAGAAGAGAGGGAGCACGTTACTGCCAGTGGTGGTGAAGTAGGAAGACTCAATGTATATAGAGGCAACGAGGTACGGTGTAATCACCTTCGTCCTTTCTAATAATGGTTTCTTAAGCTCACTAGTTTTGGTTCGCAATTATGTTTATAGGTAGGGCCTCTTCGCTGCTGGCCTGGTGGATTGTGCCTATCTAGATCAATAGGTGACACGGATGTGGGAGAATTTATTGTGCCAATACCACACGTTAAGCAAGTGAAGGTTAGCTAGTTTCATAATTACGTTCTTTGTTCGGTGACCCTTTTATTGTGAAGCATTTAGTTCTAAGTTCGAAGGGCCGGCTTGGCTCAGCGGTAAGCTTGCTTGCCGTGGTGTGTCAGGTCGCGGGTTCGAATCAGCCTCTCTGCAAAAAGCAGGGGAAAGACTGCCTAGAGTATTCCCTTCCCCAGACACTCACGAAGTGGGTATTTGAACTGGGTCGGCCCTTTATTTAGTTCTAAGTTCCAATGCTCACAAACATTTGTTTGTTGGTTCCTCAGCTTTCAAATGCTGGTGGAAGGCTTATTATAGCCTCTGATGGTATTTGGGATGCTTTATCTTCTGATATGGCTGCCAAGTCATGTCGGGGTCTGCCTGCGGAGCTTGCTGCGAAGCTAGTGGTCAAGGTGATAGATTATTTCTGGCATTATTCCCTTATTTTCAGGAATGGATGTCCAATTATCTTATTTAGTAAATGCTTTGTTCTTTTTCCCCAGGAAGCTCTAAGGTCGAGAGGCCTGAAGGATGACACAACCTGCCTTGTTGTAGATATTATTCCTTCGGACCTCCCGGTATTACCACCAATTCCGAGAAAGAAACACAATATGCTTACTTCATTTCTCTTTGGAAAGAAATCTGAAAACTCCACAAACAAAGCTACTAATAAGCTTTCTGCAGTTGGTGTTGTGGAGGAGTTATTTGAAGAGGGTTCTGCCATGCTTGCAGAAAGGTAAGTTCTAAAGCCCGTGATGGCCAAATTTATATTTGCATGCTATGTCTAGAAGTGTAATAGCAACTTAGCTTAGCTGTCAAGTGACTGGAATGAAATGATTTCCTTTTCCATTTGGGTGCTATGCGTGTGCAAGTCTTAAGTTCTCTATTTTCTTAAAATGCAGGCTGGGTAAGGATTTTCCATTTAATAAGAATTCTGGGATTTTTCGCTGTGCGGTATGCCAAGTGGATCAACCCCCTGGCGATGGTTTATCAGTGAACTCTGGGCCTTTTTTCTCTCCAGCATCTAAGCCATGGGAAGGCCCATTCCTCTGCACAAACTGTCGGAAGAAAAGAGATGCCATGGAAGGAAAAAGGCCTAGCAGACCCACCGTTACTGCATAGTAATTATCTAGTGTTATAGTAACATACATAGTAAATATTAGTATAATTTTTCCCTGGCAGTGAGAGCATGGTTTGTTTTTCTTTTTTTCGGTGGTGATTGCCATAGATGTGTAAGAAGTGAGGTTGAGATACGTTCAGTAGGTGTTTTGGGGGTTGTTGTAAGTTTGATTCTGGCTTGTGCTCAGCTGTTGGACTGACAGAACAAACATGCTGTCCAGTAGATAAGTTCTAATGGTATGTACTAACGGCTTGTTTTTGTAAGTAAACTGAAACTTTTATGGCTACCTCTCTCTTTTGAGAGTGCTTTGATGGTACGGCTCAATTGCATTTGTATCTTCTAAAATTGTGTGGTTCATGTAATAGATTGTGTGACCTTAGGCACGCGGTTCAAGAACAGTTTTTGTTAGTTAAAAATAATAAAACCTGTTTGGATTATTGTTTTTGAGTCCGTAGTTTTATATATTAAAAACAAAGTGGAGAAGAACATTTCTTTTTTATTTATTTATTAAGAACAACATTGCTTTATCGATACTATTTTTGGCGTTTGTGCCTTTCATAATAAAATTGCGTACGAATTCATTTTGGTTATCTCAAAGTGTGAGACACACAAACACTTGGGAAGGTTGAATTTTTTTAAAATCAGGAAGTAATTTAGACTCAACCCAAATTACAAGCTGGAGATTTACGATTTACAATTTGTCTTGCCCAATGTCAATGGTTGTATTTCGAATAAATAAAAGTCGACAATAGTTAGATTTGAATTGTTCATATTTTGGTAGGCAGATTTGAATCGATTCGATTTGACTTAAAAATGAAATCTTTTGTTTGGAACTTATTGTAAAAAGTTAAAATTGAATTGATTTAAAAATTAATTTTTATGTTTGGGATTCTTTAAAATATAATCGATTTTATTTTTATCATTGCACATTTTTATCTTTTTAATAGCCTAAATTATCAGATATATAAGGAAAATGAAAAAGTTAATAAGAATAAAATAATCTCTATTGAAAATTAAATTAAATTTTCACAACAGTTGATAATATTTCGAAATCTAAATAATTGAAACTCATGTAATTTTATAAATTAAATTATTTCTCATTTCTCAATTTTTACATACAGGATATATCAGATATTTTTATTTTTATTTTTACATTTCAAACATCAATAAAATGTTAGAGTGGCTTTCTGATGTCATCATGCTAAAATCATTTCGATTAATATTTTTAAGAGGCACTAGGCTTCTCTTGAAAGTGTAATCAGTAAACAGGTGAATTTCATACCCGGAGCCCCAAATACATCGTTCAAATGCAAACTTCTGGTGATTAGGGCAATATACAAACGTGTAGCCCATAATCTTCAGTGCGCAGTCTATAGCCCCACTACCCCATTAATAGCCCAAACTAAAAGAAAATTACAAAACATGCTTATGAGAATAGAAGTACAGCAGCAACCAAATTTTCACGAAGTAGAAGGCCCAAACAAACACATTCATTTTTTTTTTGTGTACAAGAGGGTTGCTCTTATGCCACGCCACCGCATTGGGCACTTCATTTAAATCGTTAGTACTTAGTGCTTGTTTGTTTATATCTTCTCTTTTTTAAGTTAGAAGCTATTTATAAGTATAAGTTAGGCCAAACAGATTTTGGAAAAAACTCTTATAACAAAAAGCTCTTTTTTTATAGCGAAGAAAAAAAAGCTGAAAACTAAAAGCTACTAGGAGAAGCTTTTTTTAAGCTCTTATCTGTTTTTCTTGAATTATGTGCTTTTTTTAAATGAAGAGTGATAAAGATAGAGAGAAAGATAATTTTATTAAAATATGTGTTTTTAAATAATTTTTAAGCTAAAATTTTTATGTAATTTTCAAACAACTTTTAATTTTTTTTAAGCTCTTTTTTTTTAACTTTAGCCGTCGTATTTCTGTATTTTCAAGGCGCCGAGTGTTCTCTTTATTGACGCAGATTATGATTTGCGATGGATGATTAAATACTAAAACGCATGTTACAGTGTCAATGTAACAAGAAATACGATCTAATGAACAGTTTATGTTATAATTGGAAATAGAACAAGAAACAAGAGAAAATCTATGCTTATTCAAATAAGAAGAACTAGAATCAAGCAAACAAGCAAACTCGGAATACATAATAACCAAAAGCAAAACTAAGGAACATAATACAACATAGCATAAAACAAACGGCGATTTGCAAACAAGAGCATACACTTAATTGACAATGTGATATGCTCTTTTAACATGGGAAAGCTTCAAAAGCAACAAACTCACACTATTATTGCACAAAAGCATAGTAACGCGTAAAAGGGAGCCTGATGTTGACAATATGACACAATAAACTATGCATCTTATATTCAATTAGGAGGCATCCATTGCAGCTCAATCCCATAATTCCAAGAATCAAGAGGGTCATCAGGCTTGAAATCCACCAAAGAAGTGTAAGCAGTGCAACTCCCAACCCTGACCCTGATCTTATGGGAATTCATGGAAGAGTCTTTCAAGTAATGACAGCAAAGGGTGCCCATACACCCCCTTCCCTCCTCCACTTCTTTCTCAAACTGCCTACAAATGCTGTTTGAAGAACAGTTCAGAGGAGATTGAAGGATATTAGCAGAACAATTAAACAACATAACTGTATTGTGTTTAGATATATTAAAGGGTAAGCTTTCATCAAGCAAGAATCCTCCCCCAGAGAGATCAGAAGAATAACAAGTGTCTTTCAATATAAGGGGTGGGCTAATGACAAGTTTGTTAACACTCGGGTCAATTCTAAGGATCTTATAGTAAGAACTTGTTGCTGACAAGAACTCTAAGTTGCCATTGTTGCAATAAACTCTGTACCTTGAATCTCCACAGTCATCGTTCGTGCTGAGTGGGTATGGAACTGCAGAGTCACCACAATCCGGACAAGTACTAAGGGCTGATGCATTGATTACAAGAGTAGTTAGTAGAAAGAGTAGAAGGGCTACCATCTTTACTCGAATGATAGAAACAAGGAAATGTTTTTTATCCCTTGATTAGCAAGTAAGGATTGCACAACAATGTGGCCTATTTATGATCGGCTTCTCTTTAGCATTTCTCATGCTATAAATATAATAAGTGATCGACTCATCACTTGTTAAAAAAAAAAGATGCCATGAAATTCAATATCTTAAAGTTATTTCCTATGAATTTGGATCCTCTCATGTAAAAAAGTAGTCAGGTGTTCATATTATTTGATCATAACCACTCATTGACGATAGGATAAGAGAGAGAGAAATGTATGATTTTTAAATGAGTGGTTATGATCAAATAATATGACCATTTTTTCATAATTTACTAACATCTCGAAAATGATTTCCCATTTATGATACCCAATGAGGCAAATTTCTGTTTTGGGTTTGTGAGGTTTATATCATATCTCTAATATTAATAGATGCGGATGAAAATGGTAGGGACTGAATTCTAGAGTCTTTTAATAAGAAGTTATCGAGTGAAGATTAAGAAGTTATCGAGTGAAGATAAATGAATAATTTTCTAACATGTTCAAGAGTTTATGCGCTAAACAAAAGTTTCTATAATAAAGTTATCTGAATGTACTTTTACTATTACACCATTAATTGTGTAAAACAATATTATTAGACTTGCATACGGGTCTTTGATGTAATTGATTACTTCCATCAGGTATATATAAAAATATGAAATGAATATAATAATAAAAATATTATAATAAACATATATAGTTGTGATTAGAACACAAACTGTGGCCCATTTAATACCACTTCAAACCAATATACAAGTATGTGCAGAGTTGAATTTGGTTCGGTTTTATTCACCGAACCGAATTGAACTAGCAAAAATAATTCAGTTCGAAAAATTAAAGTGATTTATTTTTTCGAACCAATTCAAAATTAGTTCTGAATGAGTCGTGAACTGGTTCAATAATAACTGAAGAATTGTAATCCAATAAATTGGATCAGATACAATAACATGTCAAAATATCTTTGGCTTATCAATGGTATAATTTGTATAAAGATTTTGCATAATGATTAAATGATAAGTAAAGCAATGTTTATGATAAAAAAAAATGAGTAGAATAACAAAAAAATCAGTTCAGTTCATTAAGTGATTTAAAAAAAATAAATTCGGTTCATCAACAATATATTTATCACAAACTTGTTGGGGTTAGTGACATAAATAAAAGTACGAAAAAATTGACAAAAAATGATAAAAATTAAAAAAAAAACTAAAGAAATTAAATGATACTAGAAATTTAAAAAAACAACAAACAATTAAAATGAAAAATAAAATAAAATAAAGTGAAAAAAAAGATAAATAAGAGAGAAAAACACATAAGAGAAAAAAGGAAGTAAAAATAAAAAATTAAAGAAATTAGTATTAAATAAAGGGTTTATCATTTTTTTGTCAACTCGGGATAAAATTATCTCCAGCAACTTCAAAATTACGTTATTTTGAGAATTGAAAAAATTAATAAAAAATATTTTGATAAAATTCATATAATAATTTTTTTTTTAAAATACCTAGAGTTGAGACCCGTTCAATTCACGAAGTGATTTTTTTAAAATAAAAGATCGCATGATACCTGGACTCGATAAAAGGTTGCATACCTTTCGATTCAAGAGAAGACAAATAAAGACAAAAACAATATGTTCAAAAATTAATTTTTTAAAAATCAATTAGGTTCATAAATTGTTTTTTTTTTTTTTTTACATTTTTTAAGTGAAATACAATTCAGTTAACAGCAGAGTTCAATTTTTATTTTATTTTACACACTCCCATCAATTAAGAGCTGATATACCAATTTCGATATCAGATCATATATTTAACGAGTGAATTGACTATTATGAATCAATTGGTAATGGAATTTCTGGTTAAACCGGCCTGACAAGTTGACCTAGCTTTAATATCAGTTACCTTTGTTTAAAAAAAATAAAAGGTCGCATGCCTTTCGTCCATTGTAAAAAATTGTCTAAAGACACTAGTGACTGGTACTTTGGAGGAATTAATTATTTGGAAATTGAAACCCAACATGTCATATTGTTTACAATGAAATTGAAGACTAATCGACATGTACATGAGATTTAATTGGAGATGGATCATCTTAAAAAAAACATAATACGAAGATGTGAAAAAATCACAATAATACAAATATAAATTAACGATGATAATTTTATAATTATTTATTTCAATAATTTTTTCTTCTTCTTTTATTTGTTGAGAAACATAATCCCACATTGGTTGTATGAGTAACTAATGTGAGGTTTACAAGGCCTTGGGCACTCCCACCCTTCGAGCTAGCTTTTGGGTGGTGACCTCAAGGTTCTTAACATGGTATCAGAGCGTTCGAAATCTCACCGCCTCCCACTTTCCTCCCACTTTCTTTGTAGTGAAATTTCCACATGTAGGTGGGCTTGTATGTTGTCCACCCTTCAAGCCCAATGGGCTCTCGGGCGAGGGGGCGTGTTGGTTTATAAGGTCTTGGACACTCCCACTCTTTGAGCTAACTTTTTGGTGATGAGCTCAAAGTTCTTAACATTATTATCATTAATTTATTTTTATATGATTATAATTTTTCAAATAATCATATCATATATATATTTTTTAATACGAGAGGATTCACTCACAATTTAATTAATATGAACACCAACGTAACACTGCCACGTTTACACACAAAAGCAAATAAAATACTAACATGACACAGCCACTGACACAAGAATGCAATACACAACACTAACACCACACAGCCACTGACTGACACAAATTAATGCGATATAATTTAATATGTACTATTTCGAAATATAGTATCATATTTGGCATAAATTATCAAAAGCAGTTTGACTCGAACATAATCATCTCATAAAGTGTTTATACTTCGTAGTTTAAGAACATATAAATCTTACATTGTTCGGGATTTACATGTATTAAGTGGAGAATCATATGACATATATCTCATAAAAAGAGTGGTTGGAACTAGGAAGGATAAAAATTATAAGTTTCATTTTTTCAGTTCAAACAAAAGAAAAAGTAAAAGAGGAATTAAATCTAGTCGGTATTATACCATGTATCTTTCACGGACATTTGTTAAACAACCAGCGCACAACTTTGGTTCAGAATTTAATTAAAAAACCTTAAAAGTTAATCACTTGCTCAGTGTCATATAAAATATTACGTCAATTATGATTATGAGTATGAGTATTTTGAGTAAAATGGCTCACCAGACGCACTATGGGGTACCACTTGCTTCTTTGAGGTGATCCCATTTCCAAAAGTGGCTCCTAATCTATAAACATATTATGGGTACAATGATAGTGGTAACGTACAAACAACTTGAGTTTCTAAAATGAATATTAGGGCTCTAAAGTTTTTGCTAAGTAGTGTTTTGGTTCACGTGTTGAAGATGTGGCCATACCTGGTTACTGAGAGCTTTAATGGTGCATAATCAACAAATATTAATTAGCAATGTCTTATAGTCTTTAAGATGAATATTAATAGACCACCTGTCAGTCTATAATCCACTGAAGGATCTACCCATAATTTTGTTTTTCCTTCTTTTTATTTATACATTCGTGTATATAACCCAAATATTTGAGTTTCACTTTCCAGAGGAGCCAATGATGCTAAAAAGGTTAGCACAAAAATATAAAATTTAATCCAAAGCTCAAATGATACTTCGTATCAAATGGGAATATGTCAGCTGGGCTGATCTGCAATTGATTTTAAAGATATGAATCAAACCCGTTTTCACCTATTCTTTTAGGTGTGCCTGAATAAAAATTATTTATCACTTAAAATATAGGGATAAGATGTATCCCTACTTTTTTTACATATTTATTTTACCAAAAAAAAAAAATCATCTAAAAATTCTAGGTATAGTAATATTTTTTAGAATATTTTTTTTTCTTAATTTTATTTTTATACAAGTACGTAAATAAGAAAGATGAACAATAATTTGATAAAAGATTGAGTTCTCGATATTATCAATTATGATCATGCTTTCATTTTAAAAATGGACAATACCAATTCCGCTTTTTATTTATTGGATAAGATATTATATCAATTTTTTTTTCATATCTATTTTACCTATTCTTTTTTTTTTAATTATAATTTTAACTGACTTTCACCTTTTCTCTCTCCTACCATTGTTAATTAAGATTGTAATTTAATGGTATGAAGAAAAATAAATGGCTCTGGATGCCAGAGTGGAAATTGAATTTTAACTTGTGGACTTGATATATTATGTGTGTGCAACTTCAAAAAATAGCTTCCAGTACAATTCATTCATACCCATTCATCACACGCAGCGTATTACAGCTACTTAGTCTATGTTTTATTTTTTAGCTCAATTCGTCAAAGTAGAATTATCTATGAAATTGAAATCTCAGAATAACTAAAGTACAATATGAATCTATTCAATCACGAGCAATAATTTGAAGAAAAAAAAGAATGATAAATACTTGTAATTGTGTCTCAGTGGTTAAACGGAAGCATTGTTCCTTCTAATCATCGCATTCCGAATGCTCTTCGCTGCTGAATCCTTATCATTCGTCAAACATAAAAAAACCATAACCCTTCCTTCTACTCAGCACTAAGCAAAGCTATCACATTTGGGCTTAGCCCCATGGGCCTACTCTTTTTTACAGGAGGAGACCAACAAAAGTTATAAGAAAGCCCAATTATGATCTGCTCGATTTTTAAATGACGGGCCAGCTTGTTAGGCAATCCATTTGAATGAATTTTAAACAATTAGTAGAACCGAAGATCAAGCAAAAAATAAAAATAAAAATGATAGTTTAAATTTTTTAAATTTATTTTATAATTCAATATATCAGTTTAATTTTTTTCTGTTTAAATAAAATCTAAAATGAATAATTTAGTTTTCAAGATTATAAGGATAAAAATAAAGGACAATTTTTAATTAACTTGTCTTTTTTTTGGTAGAATTAATTAACTTGTCTTTATTTATACTATATAA